AAATCAAGAGGCAGCCTTCCCCTCGATGCTACGTGAGCGCTTCAGGTAGGTGTCAAAATGACACCGTGGTTGCATACTTTTTTATTAAAATCCTCGCCAGCTACATAAGAGTTTAAGGGTTTGGAGCACAAATTAAAAAAAAGCATAGCTTTCCCCCCCTCTGCACTACATGAGCATTTGGGGGTACTTTATATATATATATATCCCCCTCGCAAGCGCCGCACCGATTTCTCTCTCTACAATGCTACATGAGCACGTAGGTGGTTTGTCGGTTCATAACTAGCATTGAAGAATAATTTTTAGGTCGTTGCAAGCGCCGCACTGATTTTTCTCTCTACTACGCTACGTGAGCGCGTAGGGGGTATATCAGCTCGTTGCAAGCCACGAGAGAAGGATTTTTTTTAGTTAGAAGTTTTATATTATACCTTTACAATCGGATCAACGATGACAACAGAGATAAAAAAAGCATGAAAATACATTTTTTCTCTCTCTTTGAATATGGTATTAATACTAATATTAATATTATTATTGTATTACTTTTATACTATTACTATTTTATATCATTAATCATGATAGCAATAGTAACATTATAATAGTAATATAATAAAAACAATAATATTACTATTAATTAATATAAATATTTAATAATAAAATACATATATAAAAAAATGAAATAAATAGAGAAGGAGAAGGCATCGGGTTGGGTCTCACTTGCGACAAAGAGGAGAAGGGTTCGGGTAAACGACGAGAACGGGGCAGCGATCGAGAGTAGATTTCATGCAGGATGTGATGAGAAACAACTGGAGCGGCGCCGATTCAGCGGGATTCGTGGATCCGACGGGATACAAGGTATTTTTTTTTTTGTTTCATGTTCCTTTGGGTATTGTTCAGAGGTCAACAGGGGACTACAGGCTCTATAGTTTGATAGTTGTGGTATTTTAAGCTAGCTTTCCTTCATGAGGTGAGTTGCGAGTCACATGATCTGTGATGACTTTTGATTATCCCCATGAGGAACAATTTTCCTTCTGCACTTTCAGATTAGTTAATTTTATGATCGAGTCATTAGTTGAGTTCTTGTATGTGACACACTTGCGGGTCCTTTTGTGACATTTCAAGTTTTTATTTTATCATAAACATTTATAATTTTTATTATTTTAATATATTGTCATTATTTAGAATATATTTATTTATTATAATTTCTTCTATTATTCTCTTTAATTGTCTTTATATAGGCATTTTTATATGAACATATAATTCAATTCAATAATGAACATCTCTTTTATGCTCTCCAGCCTTCCATGGTCTTCACGTCCTTTCATCTCTTAATTGATTTATGGAAATCATTTCTTCATTTTAGTTGACGCATTCTTGGCTTTGTGAATCCCAATTAGTTATTAGTGGGATATGCTCTATTCAGCTTAAAATAGAGGAAATCAGCACATAATGTCCATTTCTTTAACATTAAGATAATTAACTTAAATATCATGGATGTAGTGATTATGAAGGGAACAATACTTATACTCAAAAAGTTCTTTCAAATAGCTCAGATGATTCAGATCTAAAAGTTCTCTCACTTGAACATAATTATATATTGCCTAGATATACTCATTCATTTGTACCAAACTTATCATGATACATTCTTTTTAATCTTTTCTTTTAAATCCAATCTTAGTTATAGTCGTGAAAATTTTTAATATTTGAAATTTCTATTTTATTCTTATTTAAAGTCAATGTTAATTTGTGTATTCTCTTCTTTATTGTTATCTCACCAAGAACTTCTATATTGTAATGAAGTTTTACAAATTAGCTTGATGCTTTTTTAGCTAGATCTCTCCTATATATGCCAACACAATGTTCCTTCCTTCAATTAGAACCCCTTCATTTATTTTATTATCCATGTACATAACATGGTATATAAAGTGAAATGGCCACATAGCTCTTCTTGGTCTGTTGGTAGCAGCTACCAACCAACAAACCAATATATGCATGCTAGATTTGTAGATTGCCACAAAGATCCATCTCACGATGCACTTGTTCAATCTGGTCATTGTCATTTGCACCATCGTTGCCTCTGCGATCTTGAACATGCTCTACCAATCGCATCAAAGAAATCGTTGAATAGGTGAGTACAACTTTGGCAGGTATATGATACACCTTAGGATTTCTCAATTTCAGTTTTTCTCTAATTCCCCTCAAATGAAGAGAATTTATCCACCAAATCCAAAGAAAAGCAATCACAAGAGAAATGGGATGAAGAACAGAAAAACAATTATATTAAAATTCAAGAGAAAATAAGATACATTTGTCCAATTCGAGAAGGACAATGTCTCCCAATACAAACTCTAGAAAAAGCAAAAAGAAAACAATAGAAAAGTTTCAATCAGCATGAAGAAAAAAACCTCCTTAACAACCATGTAACCTCCTCCAAAACAACCATATAACCTCCTTAACAACCATGTAACCTCCTCCAAAACAACCATGTAACCTCCTTAACAACCATGTAACCTCCTCCAAAACAACCATGTAACCTCCTTAACAACCATGTAACCTCCTCCAAAACAACCATGTACCTCCCCCCCCCATGATGCCCACGATCACATAGGTGGGCCTATGGGGCCCACCGTGGCTTCTCCTTGGCCCACCGTGGCTTCTCCTTGCTCCCAGCGGGTTCGCCCGTCTCCCCTTCTCCTTCTGTAGACCCGCACGGGTTTAGAGGGATGGACCAGTTGAACCGGTCCATCAATACCGCCCTCTATAAGATCAACCTTGTGCTCAAGGTTGAAGTCTGGGAATTGCTCTCGCATGGCTTCGTATATCTCCCAAGTAGCCTCTTATGTCGGTAAGTCCTTCCACTAGATGAGCACCTCCCTCTTGCCTTGATCATTCTTCCTCACTTCCTTCACTTATAGTGGCTATAGTAAGAATTGCATATCTTCTGTGAGTCCCTGGGGTATAGTAGGAGTGGCCACAGTAGGATCTCCTATGCTCTTCTTCAATAGTGATGCATGAAATATAGGGTGGATGGAGGAATTAGGAGGTAACTTGAAACAGTAGGCCACCATCCCAACCTTCCCTTCGATCTCGAAAGGCCCATAGTATCGTGGAGATAGCTTCTCACTCTTTCTGCTAGCTAAAGTCTTCTGTCGATAAGGCCGTAGCTTCAGGTATACCATATCTCCCACCTCAAATGTCACATCCTTATGATGAGCATCCGCCTTAGTCTTCATGATCTACTGGGCTCTCAATAGGTGTTCTCTCAACTCTCCTAACACCTTATCCCTCTCCTCCAAGTATTGATCCACTAGATATACAGGGGTCATTCCCTTCTGATAATTCACCAATGGTGGTGGATCCCTCCCATAAAGAATCCTAAAAGGTGTGAATTGAGATACAATATGATAGCAAGTGTTGTACCAATATTCTGCTCATGGTAGCCATTTGACCCACTGCTTAGGCCTCTCCCCAACAAAGCATCTCAAGTAAGTCTCCACGCTCCGGTTCACCACCTCGGATTGTCCGCCTGTCTATGGGTGGTATGTTGTACTGTGCTTCAAGAATGTACCTTGCATCTTGAAGATCTCCTTCCAAAAAGAGCTCAATAATACTTTGTGCCGATCTGAGATAATAGAAGTGGGGACCCCATGCAATCGAACCACCTCTCTGATGAAAGTAGAGGCTACAGTAGGAGCTGAGAACGGATGTCGTAGTGGAATAAAATGGCTATACTTGCTCAACCGGTCAACTACCACCATGATGACCGTATACCCATCAGACTTGCGTAATCCCTAAATGAAATCCATGGTGACTTCCTCCCAAATCTTGTTTGGCAGCACCAAGGGATGTAGCAAACCACTAGGGGAACAAGCTTGATAGTTGTTCCGCTGACAAATATTACATTTGCTCACCATGTCTTTGACGTCACCTCTTAGCCCTTTCCAAAAAAATTCGGCTTTCACCTGCTGATAGGTCTTCTCCACTCCTTAATGTTCACCAATACTGCTATTGTGGT